TCTATTCAAGTTGATAGCAGCTCAAATAAGTCTATATTATAGAAACAGAAAAGCAATGAAGCTATACGATTTTTATTTGCATTTATTCAGTTGTGTTTCTAGCAACACAAACTGAAATTAAATTGAAATTCTCATTTACACAACAGGAATGTCCTTAGCACAGTGTTCCTTGACGTACTTTTAAGGACAACTTCTTGAAAGAATACTTTGGAATTAGGTGATGAATTTTGAAATAATAAGAGAATGAATAAAGTGTTTAAAAAGGTTTTCAGTTAACATTAACTAATTAGTATTGATTGTTACTTGAAATGAGGCTGACATTTTGCCATGCAAAGTAGTGACCACCCAATGAAAATGCACATCCAAATGCAAGTCTGAACCAATGTTCCGATGGCAGGAAGGTAAGGTAAGTTAAAATGACAACATTCCAAAGGTCGGTTTGAGCCAAACCAACATTTTTCAGGCTTTAAAGAAATTGATATGAAAGATATAAATAGCAAAAGTTTATAAATGGGCTTTAAATTAGGAGGACAAAGATTGAGTTTGAAAAGTAGACAGGCAATAAGATTGTGCCAATTCACTAAAAATTATGTAAGCAATGAGGTCAGTGATTAAGGCACATTAGGATACTGCAGGGAAGCAGTTATGCTGTTTGCAACACGCACAGCTCATTTCAGTGTTTAAAAAGTAAACAGTGGGACTCCTGGAAATTGAAACTGTATTACTGATCTATTGGCGATGAATATCAAAAAAATGGTGATAAATAAGAATTAACTGGTGCAACTGGCATGGGTCATCTAAATAAGAGTCAATTTGTTTACAGTCCGTGATTTTCCTCTAGTGTATGTTGTTATGGTGAGTGTTATCAATATTGCAGTACTTTGACTGTTACAAAAACACTCGATCTTTTGATTACTCAGTGAAGGAAAGATGGATTAAGTTGCAGAATGTTGGAGGACAATTATTTAGGTCAATCCAAACTGAGAAATAGCACCTGGAACTGTATGAAAGTTAAATGGGCTATAAATAGAATTATGTATGTAATTCTATATACAAATAGAATTATAGAGGCAATTTTTGGCTTTGTAAAAGCAAAATAAATCACAGTGGAAGAAGTAGCTTGAAGTATTACTGAAATGTAAATCACCTATAACAGCTCGAGGTATCTTCCAACCTAAATGATTATGTGATTCTGTGATCAAATGTCAAAGCTGGACCTATACTGAGCTGGGAATTGGACCCAGTTGACATGATACTGTGATTCGAGCTACCAACATGAGAAAAAGATAGAAGCTTTAGTATGGATTATTACCTTTTATGGCTTATCTATTATTTAACAAAATACATCTATGAAGTGGAAAAACTGAAATATTTAAAAATTTAGAGAATACATAGCTAAAAACTGAAGAAATGTGTGGATAAAAAGATCATTCTGTATTTTTAACCCCACTTTGCTATCTTCAGTTGAACAGCTACAATTCATATCAGTCAAGAATGTGACTTAATGGTTTTGTAATGTATATGCTTGCCTATCAGTCTGACTGAATTGTGGTTATCTACTGTATCAATGATTTTGATTGCAGCTTATTTCTGAGTAAACTGAAACAATATTCTGCTATCCAAAATTGCCATGAAAGCTTTTTAAACCATGCCTGTTGAAAACAAACAGGACAAGATCATTGCCTATTGGGAACCTTTCAGTGAAGATTGGGTAAAAAAAAAAAAAAAAAAAAAAAAAAAAAGAGATGATCAGTAGGATAAGAAAGCTGTCCCTTGTTGTGGAGAGTCATCTCCTCCTTCAGGTTACTAAAGAGTTACTCTTCATTGTTTCTGTCCAGGACGAAAGCAAACAGTTGCTTTAAATTTTCCTTCTACTGCATCTGCTAACTCATACTTTTGTAAAGTGAGTGAAGACTAATAAGATTTTTCTTCATTGGTCAGAGTGATGATAAAGGCAATAAAAAATAGAAAATTGTCAAAAAGTTTCCTAGAATTGTTCACACATCTGCATGTTTGATTACACAGATGTTCTAATCTGTGAGGTCAAATGGCTGTGCTTTATCAAAAGTTTGTATGTTTGGACTAAAAACTAGATTTATGCACTTCGTGAACTTGTAATTTTATGTAAACCACTAACAAAATAGAACATTGTTCAAAGTAGTGGTGACCATATCAATTGTTTGATTTTTTTTCTTTTGTTAAAAAAAAACCCCAACAATTACATGCATTGTCTCAACACAACACTATGTTTGTTAGAATTATTTTGTCAACAGTTAGTATCTGGCAGTAGTCCTGAAGCATGAGGGACTTCTGCATACATTTTGAAATTTCTAATTATAATGACAATACGTTCTTGGATCCGTATTTGTGAATATTTCATTTTATCACTTTCCAGCAGTTACCCATACTTTCAGTAATAGTTCCCTTCTTGGGTTTCATACTGTGTAGTTTTACAAAGTAAGGAACTCTTAATCTTCTCCATGAAATGACCATGTGATATTTTCAGTTCCTTCTCAAAAAGTAACTTTCCATATCTCAAAGTGCACTCATTAATTCTTGAAATAGTAGTTAACTTTGCACAACCAAATTGTTTGTTTTGCCTTATTTAAATACATTTTGTTTGTTTCTGATTTTGATTCACAGCAAGTCCTGCAACTTCATTACTGTTCAAACAATGTATCATGTAGAGTTGGAAGCTGAAATGTGTTTTGGTTTGGTTTGGTTTTTTTTTTTTCACAATCTTCTTTGGTATTCTTGTGATTTTGGTATATTTCAATCGTTTGCTATATGCTGAGAGCTTTCCTATTTATTGCTGGCCCATCTTGTTTTTTTAAAACCTTAAGACAGCCCATGAAAATTTTTAGAAGCACATTTTATCCTTTGAGTAGTATGGAGCAATGTATTGGGTGCTTTTAAAGTTCAGAATGCCAAATAGTGGGTCAGATCGCTCAGTCAGCTTTATCACTAGCAAGACTTTCCAAATGGCTGTCTTTACACAACAACATATTTCTTCAGTGATAAAATGAAGTTTAAAAACTTGTCAGTGATTCCATACCTAATCAAAATTCACCTTTCAATATGCACTTCAGCATCTGCTTTTTCTTCTCAAAAGAACTGCAGTGAATTTCCTTCTCTAACCCAAGATTGGACTCTTTTCTTTCTTTTCTTGGCTAAGATTGCTGGCTGCTTTTGCCACCCTGTTCCTTCCCCCACTCTCAGTTGGGGGGGAAAAGGTAAAAAGGATGGAACCTGAAGCGTTCTTCTGTACCCTTCCCAAGCTAAACATTTCTTGTCTGGACTTCTGACTACATCTGCACTAGATTTAGCACCTACCTGGCTTCAGGCTGCTTTTCTTTATTGCAGTTTTTTGAAGAAATACTGATTAAATACTATCCATCTTGTAAGAAAACTTAAATGCTCAGATTTTTTATTAAATATATGAACTTTTAGTAAATTTTTTCCTGTAAGTATGATGTAATAGATGGTAAAAATATGAATTGTCTTCTTGAATTAAAAAGTATCATCCATACCTACAGTACGTATTCTGTGGGAAGATCTTCTGAAAGATTCCTTTACAGTGGTGTTATACAGCTCAGTGATGAAATACGCAATACTAACATATAGATACTTTTGTGAAGACAGATATTTCCAAATGATGAAAAATTAATTGAAAGTATACCTGATAATAACAAACATTCCTAATTTAAATAACCTTATCGCAGAGAGTTACTGCTGATTTTTGACTAGTTTTGGTAGGCTCACTGGTGTTAATGTAGCATTCTGGCAATGTATGACTTAATCATGCCATTGCCATATTTCTAGAACTTTGTCACAAATACACTGAAATGATTTCTAGTGCATGCAAAAGTGTTCTAACCTTAGGGATTTAAAACTGTTCCTCAAATAAGACTCATTATCCTTGCACTGAATTGATTTTTTTCAGCCATTAGACTTACTTGGTCATCAACGATTTTATATAAGTTTGATTTGCTTTGATTTAAAACAGTTTTCTTGCCTGACTGGTGACCACTAAACAGAGGACCAGCCACCTTTGGCAGTAAACACTGCAGACAATGAAAATACTCTTTTGGAGGAAATGAACATGGTAGAAATCTTACCTGAAACGTTCAGTGTTTCAAAAATGTAATGCTTTGTATTATGTTGTCATGTATTATAATTTATTTCAGTATATGAAAACAGCTTTGAATTATCAATTATGTAGACACTTATGTTTGTGTAATTTATAAAATCTCTTAAAAAATATTCAATGGCTATTGAACCTGAATGAAAATCCTATCTAAAACATCTGTATATTCCACATTAGTTAGTATTTAAAAGAGAACAGATTCTTACCTGTATGTAAACCACGTGTTTGTATAGTACTTGGCTGTTTTCCATGATCTATTTAATTTGCTACTTACCTTCATAGTTCTTTCAGGCAGGAATTGTTTCTCTGTTCTTTCTCCCGTTCTGCCAGTAGAGTTGCTAATTCAGTGGTACTAACGATGTCTGAAATGCTGAGATTTACTGCAATAAAATGTATTCAGAAGAGCAGCAGCGCTGTATAGTTATTTTATTCACAATTTCTTATGACTTAAAATATTTGTTTATTTTTTAAACAAGTAACTGACTTTTAAGCATTTTAGATAACAAGTCTGTCCAAGTAAGCGTTAGCACACAGAAATGCTGTAGTTGTATATAAAAAGGTATGAATACATAAACAGGAACACTTTTTATATATTATTAACTGCCAGCTGCTAAGAATTCAAGGACCTTCAACTTTGTTATTCTGGAGTGGATTGTTAGACTAGATTTAGGTACGAACTGTATCTAAAACTATGATTTGTATTAATTTTTTAAAACGCTATTTTGAAAAAACAGAGCAAGGGTTAGGTAGACTTTTTGAAGTTGAGGCTACAGTTTAGCTGATATGTTTGGGATGTTGCTTGCCAATGGTAAAGCTTATTACTTGGCTCATCCTAGTATGTATTTTAAAACAGGTGAGGCTAATGATAAGGATGTTCAGGTGGTGGAACTTCCCATTGTTGACAGCTTACACCCACGGCCACCTTATTTACCCTTGGCTATCCCTGAAGACCTGGCCGATAGGCTGATTCGTGTCCATGGGGATCCTGCAGTGTGGTGGGTCTCGCAATTTGTGAAATACTTGATTCGTCCACAGCCTTGGTTAGAAAAAGAAATAGAGGAAGCCACAAGGAAACTTGGTTTCAAACATCCTGTGATCGGGTGGGTATTTGGTTTTCTTTTTAACTCTCTGTGCTTTAATATGTGTATATAGTGATTCCTGTTCAGGACAAATTGTTTTATGATGGTTATCCAAGAGCCTCAAGCATTTTGTGGGGCGAGAGGGTGCTTTCTGGATGAAGCTATTATATTTTAACTGTGCATAATACAAGTTGATTACAAGTACTTCTTCAGCATACTTGCCTACCTATAGTTGAACATGTATATAAAAGGGGGCTCGATAGAAGGCTTTTATCCATATCTAGTTATGTAATACAGAATTTCATTCCTGTAACTGCCTTACAGCTTATATTCCAGACACTTCTGTTTGGATCTTCTTTTCAAGTGCCTATAACCTTTACATTTGAGGAAAAAAGGCTAAGCCTACATTTTACATGCCACAGTCCACAACTAATTTTATTTTTGGCTGCACCTGAACATGATATGTGCCTTTCCCCTTCCTGCTGTTGTTTTCACTGTTGTTCCTTAGCAGTAACTGTGAATTGGAAAGGTCTGTGTGGGAAGATCCAGGGAGAAGGAAGGAAAGCACCAATGGGCAATAAAGAGCAGCTTGTGAAAGAAAGGTTTTACTGTCATGTGACGTGAAAAATCCTGCTGCTGCCGTATTAGTGCCTGCAAATACTGCTTCCTTTGCCAGAATTTTCCTTCAACCCTTAATCTTTCTTTTCGTAGGAGTACGCAGTAGGTCTGTCCAAATGTTAGTTGGCTTTTGACCATTGAGTCAGTAGACCACCACTGGCGGATCTGAAGAATTTGTTAGCTTTCAAGCAGATGGAGAGGATGCATTTTTAACTACCTTCATTCAAATCCTGCAGTGTAATTGTTGTCCCAATATATCCATGATGCAAATATTCTTATTTTGCTTTTGAACTGTATTGATCAAGCATTATCTAACTACCCCAGATAACTTAACCTGCACAAAAGGAATACCTTGTATTCTATAAGTAAATCTTTCATTCTTTTCCTTCACTTCCCCTTTGCCTTTCTCGCAAGATGATTATATTGCTTTCAAGAACAGACTAACAGATAGCTTAATGTCAGTGTGTCTAGATGGACATAAGTGAGTTTCAAACCTTCCTTGTTTTATGTGGGCATTCAATTTAATATGCATTCTAAAAGCATAGGCACGAAATTTAAAGTTAAAATTTCAGTCGTGAAAGTGAATTGCATTAATAAATTGAATTCCTAGTTTCTGCCTTTTTCTAGTGTTCACGTCCGAAGGACAGACAAAGTAGGAACAGAAGCAGCATTTCATCCCATTGAAGAATATATGGTACACGTTGAAGAGCGGTTTGAACTTCTTGCTCGCAGAATGCATGTTGATAAAAAAAGAGTGTATTTGGCTACAGATGACCCTTCATTGTTGCAAGAGGCAAAATCCAAGTAAGATGAATTATGTTTATATTACAGTTTGTTCATTCTGGTTAGCTTTACAATTTCGGACTATTATGTGTGCAAATCTTAGTATAATTTTTTTTTTGTTATCATTTCTGCAGTTAAGATTGCATTTCAGCTTCCAGTGATTTTGACTTTTCTCTCAGGTATTCTCTTTTTTTTGAAATTTTTTTTTTTTTCCCCAAGTCTGCTTTTCAAAGCTTAATGCTAAAACTCTGGAAGAGTTGAGCAAGATACCTGTGACTAAAAGCAAACCAATGTTGTAAAAAGGAAGTAAAAAAGTAAATAATAAATGCACCAAAATTCTTTTAGAACATCCATATTAAAAATAAATTATTCAGAAATACTGTAAACTAGTTAATGTATTAAGAAGTTTTACCTGTTCAATCAACACCTTTCTGTGAATAGTTGTCAGAAAAATTTTTACAAGTTGGTTGAAAAGCTTCTGATAACTCTTTCGGAAAGATTTCTGTATCGACAACTTAGAAGACTTTCACCCTACGTGTTGAATAATTTTATAGTTTGTCCTTAAATATATTCAAGATTCTTGATCTGTAACATTGTCTCTGTCCCTTTTTTGCTCTTTGTCCTCTTCTAGCTCTCCAGGACATGGGTGTAACAACCTACCCTAGCTGTAGGATATCCCAGCCTGTCATAGAAAATATAACTGTGTTCAAACCTGGAAATGCCAACTGTGCATTCATTTACTCCTAACATATGGCCTGTATTTTCCTGTAAAAACTCATTGTGAAGTTGCATGCTTTACAATGTGACACCGAGATGGCAAAACCTTCTGTTTAGTAAAAGAAAGCAGATGCATATGGAAGAATAATGTTCCATATTTAACTGTATCTTTCTTGGGTTATGGTGTTTATGGTATATAAACAATTTCACAAACGCTTATTGCCGTGACTATGGAAACTTGGATAAGTATTTCTGATGCATTGAATTTAAGCGTATTTGTTACCGAGTACAAGTTAGCATGTTTTCCTTTTGAGTACTGTTTATCTGTCTACTGAATAGCACCTATTTCTGTTCCCAAAATTTTATCTTCCTTGAGCAGAAGAATATGTATTTTTTCATTTAAGCAAGGAAATTAATACTTTTAAAAATCAAGGTAACTCAAAGGTGGCAGATTTTTGAACTGTTTTATTCTTGGTATACATGCTTGGAAAAATATATAAGATAACATACTGGATTACAGATTTTCTTTGGCATGTACGAGGTAAGCAGAAAATGTTATTTTTTAGTAGAGGAATTTTCGACATCATTGCAATCCTGTGTATTTCAATTGTGCTATTTCTATTTTTCTTTCATATCTACAAAGGGCTGCTGTTTAAAATTATGGAGTTTTGAAAAAAACTAAACGAACATACACAACTCCAGATGATGGCAATCTAATCCTTCCTTTTTTGTATATTTAGAGACAAGAACAGTAGCAGAAACAATTATGATAACATAACATTTAAAGTGCAAATCTGAACAGTGAAAAGACAGGTAATACAAGATTGAGGTTATAATATTTAATTCATTACATTGTCATAAATTAATTACTTTTTGTAACATAACAGAATTCAGTATTGCTGTAACAGTCTTAGTTATTTAATTTTTTTCTTTATGTTCAACTTTCAATCCTGAGCACTGTATACGTCAGCTTTGTTAATAATGAGATGCACTACCTATGTAAACATATCATCCCAAGTTTTCAGTAGCAACAAAAACTAATAGTAGAATGTGACTTGCTCAGTGAACCAATACTGAATTTTATTAAGCATTGCAGTTTCTGTGGCAGTTCAAGGTTCATTCGAAATCACACTTTTAGTGAAATATGATAAGATACAGTTCGTTAGTACAGCATTCATTTTATATGTTTTATTAATAAAAAGCCATAGAATCTGTAAGTACTAAAGAATTTTTTCATGTGTTGCTGCTGAGTTTTCAGGTCACAATTTACACTGAAGCATAATTTCCTAATCTGTACCCTACTGTTGCTTGCAATCCAATAGAAAGCATTCGAAATTTCCTGTGATTTCATAGAAGGCAGGATGCAATTTGATGTTTCAGCATTTAAGGGCATCTGAAGGCAGGTTAAGGTCAGGTTTGATGAATAAAGAAGCTTTTCTTCCTCTTCTTGTGAGGAGAACTACAAATTAGTTTACACTTCTGACAAAAGAGTTTTAGTCACATTGAACTACCAAGCTTTGGTAGAAAGAGCTCACATTGTACTGCAGTAGCTTATGTTGCAGTCATTATTTGGTGCAGTAATATCAGTGAGTACTAGATATAAGATGTCTCTTTACGTGTGTGATTGACTGTCAAGCAATGTTGACATTTAAAAAATGAGAATTTAACCAACATTCACATGAATGGGCACATTGTTTCTATTAAGAGAAGTATTTCAAACTATTCATAGTCATGAGAACAGAAATATTTTGATTGAAGTTTCAGAAACTTCCCTTGCAGTCAGATGTCTACCAATTGCAATTATAGTAGTAAAGATAGTGGAGTCAATACTCAGTTTGTAGAGGGGTTTTGTTTTCCAAAAGAAAAAAAAAAGTGATAGATTTTCAGAATTAGGATGATCTAGAACAACATGATTAGAGAGGAGCATGGTTGAGAGTTCAACAGCTGTAATGATTATGGGATTAAAGAACCTGACAACTTCTGGTAAGCAGAGGTCATGGTATTTGTCTTATGTAATTGATGTGTTAGGGATGGCATAAATTACTTGTTCTTTGCCAGATTTAGTAGTTTTCAAATACAAACTTCATTTTCTACTATATGTGTTTCTACTCTATAATATTATTTACAGCATCTTCTCTCTTTAAGGTAGAGTATTCCAAATAATGCAGCTGAACATGAATAAATTCTTAAGAAACCATATTTAATCAATTTCTGGTTTATATATGAATCTATGTAGGTCTCTTTCTCATGTATATGATCACTAAAATTCAACAAATGTGCACATTTCCTTTCAGGATTTTTACCTGTGAATTCATCTGTGTTTTGCTTTTTCTTTTTTCTTTTTTTTTTTTTTTCAGTATTTTGCCTCCCTCATGAGGTTTTTTCTTTTCAGCACTTATGAAGGCTTTTTTCCCCACCCTGTTTCACTGTTTATTTACTTCCACAATAGCAAGTTAATCTCTTTTCTCCCTGTGTACTCTCTGTATTTTAGCTGTTGCAGCCCTCCTCACTGCTGAGTCACAGTATGCCTGATATATAGAATTCAGTACGAGAATTCTTATGTCTTAATGAATCGCTTGTACGTTTTCCAATTCTTTTTTAGAGCAGGACCTCAACAAGCACATTCTTTCTTATTCCATCTGTTTACACACATGCTCGCACTCTTCTTTTAGAGGGAAGAGAACTTGCATTGCCTGTCCTGGACACTTCCCCAGTCCTAGCGGACTGAGAACAGGAGCCTGGGACTGGCCTTGGTTTGCACCCGCTGCACAGGGTGGCGATCAGCTGTAGTGACACAGCTAGTTGACCAGCTTCTGAAACCAACTGGAACTTGAAATAATCTCATAACTGTTTTTGGTCTCTATCCTTATCTGAGGCTGGTAGGTGCAGGAAGGAAAGATTTTGAACTATCCCTTCCCTACTTTCTTCTGGTTTCTTCTTTTCCTAGGGGGGAAAAAAAAAAAAAATCCTTCGTAGCATATATGTAGGTTTCAAGAGTTTATTAGGTATCTTTAGAAGAACAAGATATTATTTTTAGATATGTGGAAGAAATATGCTACATACATGTAGTCTGATACAAAGAAAACAGTATTATACCAGTTTGTTCTTTGATTTTATCTTCACAGCCTGGTCCTTTCCTGTTACAGAGAAGAGAATGTGTGGGTAATTTCTTTGGAAAGCTAGGGGGGATCCTACAAAAAACGGTATTTAGATGATTCTGTCAGTAAAAATATGACATCTTATTATTTATTATTCATTTACCACACGTTCAGGAACCTTAGTAATAGGATCATGCCTGAGGTCTGCTTAAAAAGAAAAAAAAAATTTCCCAAAAGCTTACAATAGAAGTATTACATTAATCATGATATAAATACAGATGGAAAAGGGAATAGAAGGAAGCAAGAGCTAACTAGAGAGATTTAGAAGCTTCATTTCCTTTATTCTTTATAGTAATTGTTGTAAGAATAGCTTTAAATAGAATCTAAAGCACTATCATGAGTGGGAAGGAGAATTAAACCTCACCTGATGCAGTGGGCCATATGTGGCTAAGCTGGAGAGGAGTATAGGCTTGGCCTTTTACTGTATTTTTCTTTATGCTCTGCTTTCAGCCTGTGTTGGAGACAGGATGGTGGGCTAGAAGATTCTTTGGTCACACTGAATATAGCTGCTATTATGCTCACATTTTAGGGTGTTTTAAAAGAAGCCTCTTTTTCCAAGCATGAATATAGCATTGTGTGTGAGTGACAATGTAAAAGTGCTTGTTTGAAAACTTAAATATGTGAGTAGCTAAATGCTGAACTTGGATTACTGGATTCTAAAACAGTTGGCTAGGTGAATTTGGATCAACTTTACCAAATGGAACTGAAGACCAGATTTGAAAGCGTCTCAAAACCTGTTTCCAGAATAAAGGAGGAAGGAAAAAAAATGAAATGTATGAATAAGAAATTGTGTAAATAATTCTGTTGTAGTTTTTTTTATTACTTGTTTTTTTACAATTTGTTTTGGTGTCCTTCATTTGTTATTAAACTGGTCTTTTGCTAATAAAAAGTCAGATTCTTCAAGAAAGCTTCTTTTGTCTCTACACAGCATATGGATTCTGATTTTTGAAGTCTGAAAGAAATGATTAATTTTAGCAGTGTTGCAGATGCCAAGAACTTTCAAAGGGATTTGCAAATATCTTTACTGTGTTCACTGTCCCTAGAGATGACATCTCCTGTTAAATGTTCTTCCTGTTGCTCCCCTCAGAGTTGTGTCACTGAAATAAGACTGATGCCCATCTCTGTTCCTCAGCTAGTTTTCACAGTACAGTATCACATATTTCCATTTGGTCCGTACTTTATTTTTTTTTCTTTAAAAAAAACAAATATGATTCGCACAATGATAAGAGAAATAAACTGTATCAAAAATACAGTGTTTTCATCTGTTGTATTTTGAGAGATGGTCAAATACTGACAAAAAAATGTTAGACTTGAGAAGATAAAGAAAATGATCTTTGTGATACAGTTCATCTTGAAAAAAACTATTTCTTGATCCATAATTTCTCAGAAGAGGTCTTACCAGTTATTCCAAATGAATAATATTTCCACCTTATTTTTCCTTTTTTTTTTTTTTTTTTTATTTTATTTGTTTGTTTTGTTTTGTCTTGTTTTAATGTAACATGAACTTCCCCTGACATGACCAGATACATCCTTTAAAGTTCTAATGCTATCTCTGGGAAATTTACCATACATATATTATTTTTTTGTTAGAGCAGACATAGATGTTTCTCTTGAGAACATAAAATTCTATTAAAATCGCTATGTAGATAAATAAAAATTCTTCCTCAAATGTGGAAGTTTTGTGTATGGCTTTTTGATTCACTCTTGAGATAAATTTCCTGATTTAGTAGTCATAGCTAGTGAATGTTATATGGAAAATACTGCTATATTTGCCCATTCCACTTTTGAAAACAGTTCTCCCATAGTTTTAGCATTAAAACAGAGTAAATTAGGCATATCCTTACAACAAATTATCATTATCATGTCTACCGTATGTCCAGAGTGTATGTACATGCTATGTTGTTGTATACAAGTACGTCTTTCCTTCAGTAACTTTCCAGCAACTTGGGAGTGTAAACCTTATTTTGAGCAATGTTTAGCACAGGATTGTGAGGCTTTGAAGCATCTAGTTACAGGTTTAAGTTATTGCTGCTCCAGCATTATGGCCTGCTCTATATTCTCATTTTCATTATTAAACAGTATAGGAATGATTAATTCTTACAAATGTAATATTAGCTGCCTTGCTATCTTATGTAATACATTGCTTTAGAATTACTATGAAGTTGTAAATTTTAAAAATAGATTTTATTTAAATTACTTTATAATTAGCCCTTTAGTTGAAATTTTGTAGTTGGCAGGTTAGTCACATGAGTTGCACTTCATGATTGAAACATAATTATTGTGTAACAGCAATGTAGTTATCATCTTTGTTGCAACTACCTGGAATTTTTCATATAAAACTTATTTTTTGTAGGAGGCTGGCTCAAAATTTAATTAATTTGTGCTACTTTTTGCAATTTATTTCAGGTTGCAGTTCCCCCGTAAAGAGTTACAAGTGTCTTGAGAAAGACCATTCTTTTTCAACATTTTTAAAAAAGAATTTTTTCTTCAAAGTCATTGTTACATGTTAAAAAACTTAATTTTATTTTTAAGATAATATAAAATAAGATTTTATATTTAAAATTTAAAAAAATTACTTATTTTAAGATATATCAAGAAAGGCATATTGACATGAAATTTTACATTATTTCCTGTTGACCAGTAAATTGCAAAATTTGTTCTTCATGTGGCCTTAATAACTGTGAAAGACTCTTTTTTTATTTTTAGTTAGTTTAGATTTGTTTATTTAATATGTCCCTTCTACAGGTGACTGATTTTCTTGCACAGTGTCATAATCAGTATCTAGTACAGAGTATGGTAATAAACAAAATGTAGTCTAGTAAAGGCACAATCCCATATTCTTTATAGTGGTAGAGCAAGTGAATAGATCTGAGTACAGTTCATGTAAAATCAATAGCATTAGCAGAATGTGGCGTATACTTCCTGGTAGTTTTTCACTTCTTTTACAGTGTCAAAACTCAGACAGACTTACAGCATCTCTTTATTTCATTTTCTTTTTTCTGGATAAAGAGAGGGCATGCTTGGAGGCAACAGTAACGTGCCAGTGTGTTCAGCAAAATTGTAATTCATTCCCTGTAAAGCAGAGACTTGTGTAAAAAAAATTAACAACCTTACCTTGCAGCAAAGATGATGCTTCTTAAAAAAAAAAAAAAAAAAAAAAAGAAAAAGAAAAATAGAATAAGACTTTGCTGTTAACAGTGTATTGTATTTTCACAGGTATCCAAATTACGAATTTATCAGTGATAACTCCATATCCTGGTCAGCAGGACTTCATAACCGATACACTGAAAACTCCCTAAGAGGTGTTATTCTGGATATTCACTTTTTGTCTCAGGCAGACTTCCTGGTCTGTACGTTTTCATCCCAGGTAAACGCAGTACAAATACAATATAGAGTATATGTACCAGTTCTGAATCTTAGTTTTCATCATGCTCATGTTATCTCGTTCTCAGTGCACTCTCATGAAAATTTCAGGGAAGAATTAAAGGCTCAGTATTCTATGTGAGCATTTAGAGGACCATAAGCACTGGTTGATTACTTCTCTTCAATTAAAGTTACTGGCTTAATAAAGACATTTGAAATAAGCAAGAAATCATATTAAAAGTGTTTGAGTTCTTTGTTTTGCATGAAGTTAGTGTATAACTTATATCCATCCATTTCTATGCAGCTTAGTTAAGGCATTTGAAATAAGTAAAAATAATGTTAAACATGTTTAACACTTACTAATTTTGCATAAAGTTAATATATAACTTGTATCCATCTATTCCTACACATTACTGTACTACAGTCCAAACATGTCTGCTGTTGGCTTAATTGATTGTGCAAATGGAGAAGAGTGAAGAAGGCAGACATTTAATTTCTTTTCAGTCTATTACATTTCTACCAATCCAGTGACAACGCAATAAATGTGAATTCTGACCACTGTAATCCATTGAGACATCTTGTTGCAGATAATTATATACTACAAGCTTCCTTTCTTGAGTGGTCTGATGAAGCAAGTTGGAGTCCATTACAAAACTGAATCATGCAGGTGTCATTGTTGGCATTTTCTTCATTATGTCATATTGTATATTAATTTCGTATATCATTTTAAAAGATCAGAAAGCAGTATTTTGTGTCTGATATGCTGATCCACCTAATTCAATTCCTGACAAAATATGATTAAAATCAAGCAGAGTGAATGTTTTTTACCTGCTGTTGTCATATATGCTCTTAGGTGACACTCCTGGTTAGGAAAGCAACTACAGATGGCAACAGATTATTATCATATGTGATTGTACTGTTACATGGAAGTGGATACAAAACTGAAAGTTAAATTTCATTTCAAAAATAAATGTTTTCCACAGCCTCAAATGTAGATTGTCTTCTGCACTGTAATGACAGTTAGATAGGTAACAAGCAAAATATTAATACTGATTTCTTATAATAAGAACAATAGTTGTTAATAACGTTACCATGGCAAGAAGACAGCAAAACCATAAAAATTATCCCTCAATCATACTTGTGAATATGCTTGTTTTTTCCACTGTTCACCAAACCCTGTGAAGAAAATTGTGTTTTATAGCATATTTAGAAGGTTATTTATATAGGCTACTTCAGACCAAGACATGAATAAACTCCAAAGTAAAAATCCTCACTAAGAAAAGCTTGTGAGGAGCTATCCACTTTTATAACAATTTTTGATTTAGTTGTATGTCTGCTGAATGCTTATCACAGTGAAAGAGGTAACCATCAGCTAAAACCTAGGGCTGTATGTCTTAAACACCACACGTGCGTTGGTGTAGAGAGAGTTCATTTTCTGAAAGAATAATTATGTGATCTTGGATAAAAACTTAATAAGCAATCTATAACATTTTCTGCTATTATTATATTCAAATAACTGTGTTAAAAGTGGTAAATGTTTGCTTTAAATAAAGCACTGGGTATAAACATAGAAGAAACTTGTTTAAATATAGGTACAAATGACTTGGACGGAATATATTATAATTGAATTGTAACTATTGGAGTAATTTCAAATGAAGAATATATGTTAAAATGCATGGACAGAGTTAAGGTGATACAGGTTGATGGGGACCTCTGGAGGTCACCTGGTACAGCCCTCTTCGAGGGGACCTTTGAGGTACATGGTGTCTCTGAGCTCCAGTCTCACTCTGTATCTCCTTGCATTTGACAATAGACACGTTTGCTGGATTACATCTTTGGTTTTCCAGAGTTGCAGAAAATTGTACTAAAGTCCAGGAATTCCTGTGTTAGACTGTTACTTGCAGTAGCTGGGACTATGAATTTGGTCCAACCATCTACTTAATTTATTCTGGGCAATTTCTTGTGCTTTAATAATTCAAATTCCTCAAAAATCGGTTAGCACCAGTTTTGCTCGTCATGCAGCAATGTGGATCTCTACAGTACTTTAATGTATTGGGGCTTTCTAAGGTCTTCTGCAGGTTTTTTCACTGTTCAGAAAGATTTCTCTCCTACGAGTTTGAAATTTTATCTTCTGACCTCTAACATTTGAGCTACTATCCCTCAATTCATTAATGAAATAAACAGTTTGGCGTTGAAGGTAAGCAAAATCAGGCTGTTAGTGACCATCTTTTGTCCAATCTGTATGAAGAGAAAGTAAGGATAAGAATGTAACCTCAATTCATTTCCAGTGTGATTTTGGACTTTCACATTAATCAATTAAATGCTGACTTCTTTCCATTTTCTTTTCCTTGCCAAAAAGAGACAAAATTTCAGTATAGAGCTATTAAGAGAAAATTACAGTATATGTGAATAGAATCAGGCGCTTTAGGAAGTCCCTTGTATTAATTCTTCTTTATGCTACCAAAATTAAATGAATACTGATATAAGATGAAGAATAGATACTTAATTAAAGTACTGTTGTTAGAGAAATTAGTGCCATCAAGTGATGTGGAGTCAAGGGAAACAACCTGCCTTGTCACTGTGTTTCAGCAACATCACATTAATTGAGATGTATAGAAAAGCCACATGGTACGTAGGTACACAAATCACAATACAGTAGCACATTAAAACAAAGAGCTTTTTTTGTCTCTTCAGTCTTCACTTAGATGAAATCGTAGCTCCCTCTGCCTGATGTATTTTTATTCGTAATCTCATTTCCTCTCATGACTTATTAGTCTTTGTATTTTGCATTGTACATGAATGTATACAGGCTGCAAAACAAGTGAATCTGTGAATAAAACCTGGAAGGCTGACTCTAACTGTAATTCTGTATGTTAGTTCTTTGCCTACTGTCCTCAACAGCTTGCAGTTTAGTTACTCCGTTTCAGTGCTACGAAGGAAAGAATTGCTGAGAGGACATGTATGTCTTATGTCAGGTATGCAGGACACTTACACTCACCAAAAAGCATTTCTACTAGTAGCATCACTACTCTTTTACAGAGTGTGTGTGGGTGTATCCTCTTCCTGGGGTGCACACGCATCGGAGAACAAAACATCAAAAACACAGAAGCTATAAAATAAATAACCTCTTACCAATGTATGGGTAATCAAATTTGTTTCTCTATTATGGGAGTATAACAAGTACTTCAAAATAATTAACTTCAGCCTGATCTTCTGAAAGATACTTCTGAAAAGTTACTTCAAAGATCAGATGGGGATGGATAAAAGGAAATCTATTGAATTTTTAAAGCAAATGCCTCTCTCAAAGAAACTAGAAATGTACAAATATGTCTTGTTTGAGTGATCAAAGTGCTATTCACCATATCTACAGAGGGAGGAAAGAAAAGTAAAATCAAGTTTTACTATATTTACATAGACTGGAAATTATGGAAAAGCTGAAATGCTTCTTCATAGTGAAGAAGTCCGCTGTATTGTTAGTTTATCAAGCTTACAGAAAGTCAGAGAAAGATACATTAATGTAGATTAGAAGTCAGAAAGGTCACAGTAGCCAAATCAGACACCTGACAGAAGAGCTTTCTAGCCCACTGTTGAAAAGAGCTTTGTTTAATATAGTGGCAGCCTTTTGTGTTGCTGGCAACTCTGAGAGATACAGCGTGATTCTGATGTGGGCACCTGTTTTCAGTCTGAAGAAAATTCCCTTCATAAAATGTGAAACAATGACACTTCAAAATGCATCTTTCTCCTCACCAATATCATCACTGTCTGCTGGAATTCAGTTTCATTTAGTTGTCTTCCAAGTTACCAACAGTCATAATTCTGTCACTGTTCTAATATTAACAGCATTTTAAAGCCTTGGACTTCTGGAACTGCTTGATTATGAAAATTGGAGATTCCTTTAGAAAAGTAAATGTAAAGCCTCATTATTGCAGAATAAATTTTGAAAATGTAAGTTCTGAGGTTTCAAAGGGAAATAAAATACAGTTTTTATTAGTAGTAGAAAAGGGAAATGATTTTGCTTTTATATTTGATTGGCTACATTCATTTGAAAAAGGAGGATGGCTTGTGTTCATCTAGACGTTTCCAATTCTTACTGAAAATTAGCCTGTTCTGATTATTTTTGTATCTTTTTATTTACCAAATCTGTTCACCAGAGTATGAATTAAAATGCTTCTTGTTAGTAAATACGCAGGTTTTTTGTTTTGGAGGATTTTTTTGATTGTGTTTGGTTTTGTTTTTTTTTTTTGACCTGGACATTCCAAAACTTGATCCTCCTGTGAAATTTAATTGTTACACATTGTTTGCTGATTTCTGTGATATATTGCAGGCATATACACTATTTATGACTTCTCTTCTGTTTTTATTTCTAAGGTTTGTCGAGTTGCCTATGAAATTATGCAGACATTGCATCCAGATGCCTCAGCGTATTTCCATTCTTTGGATGATATCTACTATTTTGGGGGACAGAATGCTCACAACCAGGTTGCTATTTATGCTCATCATCCACGAACTGCTGATGAAATTCCTATGGAACCTGGAGATATAATTGGAGTAGCTGGAAACCACTGGGATGGTTATTCAAAAGGCATCAATAGGAAATTAGGAAGAACAGGCCTGTACCCGTCCTATAAAGTTAAGGAGAAAATTGAGATGGTCAAGTATCCGACATACCCAGAGGCTGACAAGTAGATTAAAAGGAAGACGTTCAGCAGTAATTTTCAATTTTGATTGGTTTGAACCAGTCAACACACTAACTAATGGTTTATATGGGATTTGTATTTGCATTTTAACATGCAGTTAAAATCAAAGCCTTTAGCAATGAAACTGGATTAAGAAGCTGAGAAGAAATGGATGGGCTACTCTCTGAACTTACTCTTAAACATTTTTTTGTTATATGCACTCTCACACATGCACACACAAAACCACATACAACAAGAAAACTGCTGTTTTTTACTTTTTGTCTCTTTTCAGAATTTGTCCCAGTCATTAGTCTTACGTGAGCTTTGGGCTCTTTGCCATTAATTGACAATAATGTTCAGATTTATAACACTGCCGCATTGTGTAATTTGAGTGACATGAACATATTTTGTATGTGCAAAATTGAAAACATGGTGCCTATATTTGAAAAATTTGTGACCTTTTTAGAAGAGCCATGCCTGTTTCACAATGGGCAAGAGTCAATCTTCAACTGGTGTTAGCGTGACCACTGAACTTGCTTCAAACAACAGATTAAGATTTCAGACTAGATTTCTTTACAAGTTTATTTTTAGCATTCCATTGATTACTTCTCATCATTAATAAAATAAAGGATACATCCAACAATAAAATACTCACTGTCTATTAGGAACTTTTGTGAAACAATGCCATGAACAGGTTCTTTAGTACTGATAATGTTTCTGGACATTGCATTTGATTGAAAAAAACCTCCCAAACAAACCACCACCCCCCCCAAAGGAAAAAGTAGCTGGAGTTTCACTGAATTTTTAAACCCTCATTGTGTATTATAACAACTGCTTAGTGGCACAGTGTTTCTCAGTTCTGTGGACTGGGTTTCAGCAGGATGACTTCAGTAGCTCAATTTCTTACATTTACTCTCTAGCACTGTTCTTTTATCTTCTGTGTTTCTCTTCCAAAAATATTTTTTTTTAGGGTATTATAGATGTCCATTTATCATCTTGGCATTGGATGTCATTACTTTTAGTAAAATACTTGTTATCCCATCTATAGAACCCATCAGTCTAGAGTACTCTAAAAAAAAAAAATCTATCAATTTACCCAAAAAATAGTAGATTCCAAGAAAAGATACACGAAGATGATTTTTTTATGCATGACATGAAATTGTTAGTAATTCTTAGTGTGTTGAAATCTGTTGCTAGTCTTCTCTCTAATAAGAAAAGAGATCATTTACAAAACAATTTTACAGACAAATTTTTTTATTTGGGGATTGTGTATATATATATTCTAAAAATGTACAAGATATCAAGAGATTATTTACAAATAGAAAGAATATTAATAGCGTTTTACAAGTTCTAGTGCAATCTAATCTGGAATACTGGAAGTGCAGAAAATGTTTACTGTTCAGACACTGAGAAAACGCCACATGAGTAAAGATAAAAAAAGCATGGCTGGTTGACCTTAACAAAGCAAAAGTTAAAAGTATATTTAATTATTTTTATGTATAGAGCAAGGACAGCATTGACACAGCGAATGGATGCACTTGACCATGAATAAATTTTAGGCTGAAAAGTAAGAGGAAGTCTCTGGTGGTGTGAAGTTCAGCAACAGTCTTCCAATTGAAATAGTGGTGAGTTAGATGGAACTTGATTGGTATGTAAAAGACTTAACAAAGTAGTTATCTCTGATATTACTTGCAGGACTGATCCTGTAGACACCTTTCAATTATGTGTTCCTCAACTGAAAAACTATTTTGTGTCTTGAAAAGGAATAACAAAATCAAAGTTGAAACCTGCTGTAGAAAAAAAAAAAAAAAAAAAAAGATAAATTGCCTGTTAGTAGTATTAAATATACATATCAGTAAAAATGAGCATAGATACCAAATGGGATTTAAAGACACCTTGAAGGATAAAGGCAAATGAGTAAGAGTGTCCAAGATATGCTGGAGACAATGAATTTTTATGACTAACAATGGCTAGAGTTTACCTGGTGTTTCTGTATTTTGGAACTGCTAAGGAAGCTGTTTGTTTCCTGTCTAAGTGATTCTGATAAATTTTCCACTAACTTAGCCAGATATGTGGTATTCCAGAGGCATAAATGTAGGCTAAATTATAACCTTTTTTTAACTTCAATTTGAATTGTACATATAAAACTATTGCTGCTTTCCTTTTAAACTTGGGAAAAAAAAAATCCAAACCCACAAACATTTCTTCCTCAAAGATTAGATCAATGCATTTTATCTTTGGGAAAACTAATTTAATTATTTCTTCACAAATACTATATTACCTATTTGATATTTATAAATTTTGAAAATGTTTTATTTTTGAAGCTTTTTACTTACAGCTTCAGAGCTCATCATTTCCAGCTTATTTCTTAGAGTGTAATGCAAAAATAGTTTTGATAAATGAATTAACATATGAAAATTCCTCCATAGTCAGGTAACTCAACTGAAAATATTACTAAAGAAGATAAATAACAGAACATCTAAGATGAGCCCAAAGGGAAGAGCAGATCTTCTGATGTAGTAATGAGAGAACCGAAATCACTGATATTATAGAAGACATACCTATGTAACGTGACAATTCCTCAACAGACTATATCTGACAAAATACTGGTAAAGCACATGTGCCTGCTTACATATTCTAAGTACCTAATGAATAATTAGCTCCTCATCTTTGAGAAAATGATCATGAAATGGTATGAAATTGTAAAATTATTGTTAGAAATGTACTAATGGAATTGCTATGACCTTATTCCCCTGGGCCGTGTGATCCTCTAGTGCTTATAATGCAGCACTTCTCAGAGGAAGAAGCCTAGCAAGAGACTGCTTACTAGATGCATCTGTTTCTAGAGATTAGTTTCCTTTAAGACTACCAGTTAGTTACGTCTTGGAATCCTGGGACCCTGGGATATTAAAACTGAATTTGGTTTATATTAAACAAAATTAATAGTCGAGACTTTATTCTCAGTTACAGTGGAGTCCAGGTAGTATGGAAGGATCCATGGGTAAATGAAAATGAGACCCTCAGATTTTTTTCGTAGCTCACAGAAAAGTAAAACAACCGGAAATAAAAATTTTGTCTTAAATACCTGAAAGAAAGCAAAATCATTTGAAAGTTGTGAACTTGTTAAGATACTAGCCAGAATGCTTGCAAGCAAGCAAGTATACACTGTTTCTTACACTTGCCTTGTAGTTCTGCAACAATCCAGTCATGTAATTTTTGCCTCATACCAAACCACCATGTCTGACATCGTAAAACAAAGACCGCCCTCCTGCTCTCTTAAATAAGCTAATGTTTAATTAAATATTTCCTTTTTAAGAAGCATTTGTGCGTGTGTGTGTGCGTGTGTTGTGTTCATGAAAAAAGAATATGAACAGTACTCTTTCCTTCCTTGCTATTTTACATTATCGTTGTCACATTCTCTGTAATAACTTACTTGCCAGGTAAATGTAGTCTCTGGAAACTGATTATTCTCTTTGCTTTTTACCAGATGGGCTAGGAAATTTATTCTGGGTAGTTAACTAGTCTTCTGTGACATTGGTACATCTGGAGACTGGGTTCATCATCAACAGTTTGTTGCTACCACTGCAATTACCCCAGCTTGAGTTCTGTCCTTGATTTTCAGTCCAGCCTAGAGTCAGATGCATGGGATTCCCAAGCCTCCTCTACCAACATCCTCTCCCTGTGAACTGCAAATTATTATGGATTTGTTCATGAAGGATGTTTTCTTTCAAAATTTTAAAATAGTTACCTTCAGAGAAGTCTTTTGTCTACCCCTTCTACCACTGATTTTTAAGGAAACTTGCAATTACCAGAACACTTTCTCTCCTTTACCCATTTTTCAGAAGAGAGAACTGATAATACCTTTCTTAGGGAGAGATAATCACAATGTGGAAGTTTCCTTAGTAATGGGTTTTATGTTACTTTGGTATGCAATTATAAAATAAGAGTCTGGTCTTCTGAGCTAGGAACATAATAGAATATAAAATAGAAAATTTTCATTACAAATTCTTGTTAAGGGGAGGGAGATTTTCCTTCATGCCGGTGGAGTAGCACCTACCACTTGGAACTTTTTCAAAACAGTGAATTGAACTTTTGGGTTTTTTTCAGGTCATAAGTTTCTTTGCAATGTAATATCTCAAATATTTGAAGAATAAAGGTAAAAATAGTTTGCTTAGTTTGGGAGGTGGGAAGGAGAATCTACTAAGAAGACATTACATTGTACTTTTAATTTAAGTTGCTGTATCAGTTTATAAAGCCACAAATAAAACCTTTTAGTGCTGGGTTAAGGACCTCTGCCAGCAAAATATTTAAAAGAAATACTTAAAATTTGTAACACCTCTTCTGATTTTGCCTAATACCAGTTCCTGTCATGTGTATAAACATCATGCTGGTCGTGTTCTGATCATATTCTGATCGTATTCTGACAATATTAGTTTCATTCATATTTTGGTGGGTTGGAAGCAGGCTGTCAAAAGGCACAACTTTGTTTGGTTTTCTTATTGTGTTGAATTAAAAATGCATTTAAAACTCAGAAAGATTCAATTTTCCTAAGGTACCACTAGAATTCTAATTGTTGTTTACAGATTTTTGTCAAGGTCCCCTATATGTACCTGCAATCTTATTGGGAGCAAGACTGAAGCAATACATAAATATCAGCCACACACAGGTTGGGTTAGACTTTATAGTATTCAGTTCATTTCTAAAAAGCATGAAATGTGGCACTGCATGATACAAATATGAGGACAGTATAAAATTTTCAAGCTTGCAAAAAGAATTGCTAGTCTGTTTGCCTGTGTCACTGTGTTCACTGTGGATGAGATTATTTCAGAACCAAAGCACATAAGGCAGAGGTCTTCCAGCATTACTATAGGCATCTGAGAGTTCCTTCCATTGATGTGTTTGCTGGTCTTTACCCTTTTTGGTATCATGTATAAATATCTAATAATGCTAATGAAGTTTGCTATTCAGTGGATCCTTTTGTTATTTTGTATGCTCGTTTCCTTTGACTCAACTTGTCAGCAGAATCATATTGCTGCTGCAATTCAAGCAAGCTTGGATTAATGCAAAGGCATGCCAATTGTTTGCACCAAAATGTCAGTAAAGTTGCTCAAAATTAACTTCACGCTCTTAGGCTGACTTCTAAGAAGACACTGTTGAGGGAAAGAACTATTTCTTCTGGACTATACTGCACATGTTGTATGATTGCTGACACACACATGTACTGGTTTTATGTTAAGTTTTGCATGATTTTTCCACTTTATACAGACTCAAGATTTTGGTTTTATTTTAGTATATTTATGAGGGGTTTTCTTGAAAGTGGTGAGACAAAGTCCCAACTATCCTACATTTTCTTCAAGAAGTATATCAGACCTCACCCTGTTTCCTCTAATTATTTTAAAGATATGCTCCAGTCACACCATTTTTGTAGATTCATCTGAATTGACATTTCCTGAAGACTGATATTTTTATGCTCCTCCATTACCCCTACTGCCCATTTGTATCGAAGCCTGATCTACCATGATTGTATGAACCTGCTTCAAACCTTCCTGCTTAGTGTGTTTTGATTTTCTTGCTGAGTGGCTAGTGATCATTACTTGACTAGTAATCCAAGGGAGAGAAAGTGTCCATATTTCATCTTTCATAATAACATGTGAAGTTACATTTCTTGCAGGTTATTTTTTTTTACAAAATGCATTTTTGTATTTTCCCTAACTGGTATAGTTAAGGATTCAAAGAGAAAACATAATCAGATGTGCCTAATAAGCATTTAGGAGTCTTACAAGGCACTGAAATTCCTTATCTAATAAGATTTACAGCTTGCACCATGGCAAGTTTCTTGACCAGGTGAAAGATGTATTCTCATAGCATTCTCTATCCATTTTTGGCTAGCAATTGTTACACACTAATGCCTGCAGCTTAGTGCACAAGCAGTAGGGACACAATGTGAAGACAGGACCATAAGAGACAGGTCATTTTCTTCTCTTCAGTCCTGGAATCCTTTATTTTAGCTTAGTTTTAGTGTTCTTGATTTCTTTCTTTGGCATTTTTTTTTTATATAATACAGCTGCACAATTCTCAGTCGCTCAGCTACAATTAGAGCCACAAGAATGTTACTTCTCCGCTGTGAGAATCCACTGACTATAGAGACTGCTGTCCAATTTGGCTGTCTACAAAAGATCTGTCTCTTAAAGAAGACAAGTATGTTTGCTGATATCTTTTCAAACACCAGCCACCTGGAAGAATAGAAGGAGACCAAAACCCAGGATGTTCTGCTTTCTTTGTGAATGAGAAGGAACCGGGCATCTCTTATGTCCAACCAAGATGCTGGAAAGTAATTGACTTGTTGATGGGAATAGTTGTTTGCTTCATTACTTCAGCTTATTGCTGGAGAATGAACTGTGATAAGTTTATAATTTAAAAATCTGTTGTCACTTTGTAACATCTATAAAATTTTATTTGTTTTCACTTAAGAATAAAATTGTTATACATGAAGAATAAGTTCAGATTTGTGGGGTTAAAGTGACGTTTTTTCTTCTTGCCTCAGATGGAGTTCATTGTGTTCTAACCTTAAAGTGATTTTTACTTATGACCAAACTTCAGTTATTCATCAGATAGACAAATCTTATTAGGCTGGGTTGACCATTTTTTAGTCTGTGTGTCACTGGAGGTTATACAGAGGCTAACACTAATGAGCCTTCACATAATAGATTTAGGATTGATGGATTTGTTCACTTAATTGTTTTATTCTGTTTATCTACAACAGAAAAAAAAATATTAAAAAACCCTGGTTAGGATGTATCTGCCTGCTCAAAGTGTATTTCTGTAGGGCTGCTGATGTATTATGACTACTCTTTATTACACTGATTCATATTATCTCATGATCTCACATTTCTGAGTGTGGTGCTCGTTCCTTTTGTCCAATGTTTAGATTATAAGATTTATGATCCAGGAGCCTCCTTTTTTTGGTGTTTCCACCTCTCTTGTCACAGTGGGATTCTTGTCATTCAGTAGGATCCCTAGACAGTACAATAATGTGAACAATGATAGTAGTCATAAAATGGGTTAATCATTTCATCCATAATGCTAAATTCAATATGATTTTGCAGTGTTTGCTTTTATTCCTGTTGCATTAATATTTTCTTTAGTTATATGTATTGCTTATTTGCCATCATGTGTGTATGAAAAGAAGTTCTTAAAAGAACCTCACCCAAGTCCAAATATCAGAAGTCAGATTCAGGGAGTATTCTTAGTTCCTTCCTACATGCTGTTGACCTTTGTTGTTGATAGTATGTTTGTACATTTGGTTCTGAAACAGCACAGTGATCTAAGGAATTACCTTGTGTACTTTGTTTGCTCTCATTCCTTCTCTTGGGACTTAGTCACTGACCACATGCATGATAAATCTATTTCAGTGTGAATTGAAACAGGTTCATATCTATGCTACTCTTGATTGAGATGGTATATATTAGTCAATATGAGTTTTGGAAGTAAACATGGATGTATATCCTTCATTTCTGTGCTTTTAAAATTGAATGTAGGAAAGTAAGTGTAAGAACCATTGAATTAATAGGCTGATGTCACCTTTTATTGAACTGGCTAGAACTTACTCATGCCCTTTTTCATTCTCAAGATAACACATTGCAGGAATATGCTATGGAGAGACAGATGCATACACCATAGACAGTTACGTATCTAATAGGAAGGCATACAATCTGTTGAAGAGCTTGAAGAAGCCTCTAGAAGATGAGGATGCGGCTAAGGTAATGGTTGTCTTGAGATGAAGGTGTTCCAATCTTTGCTTTATCTGCTGATATGATTGACTGGAGGCCGTCTCCTTCTCTTCCTAAGCTGCCCCTTCAGGATTCATTTAACAGACATATGCTACTTTGTCATGACTTCATGCTGGATCGATACTGGTTCTAGAACATGCTGTTCATTTCTAGTAAGATGCAGCACATTAATATGTGTTCTCTGCTGTTCTACCTCTGTAGTAAAACAATCTGGATTTTCTCAATGCAGTGTTTAGTTGATGTTGGTCTCTCTTCAGAGTTTCCCTTGAAGCATTTCCTTTTGGTAAAGCCATACACAGTGGTTGAAAACAAGAAAATAATACCATTCTTTGCTGGTTTGAGTCTGAAGTTTTATTTCTGAGATACCTGTAATTTGCCTTGCTGACCTACAAAACCACAAGGTATATTTTAACTTATTTTCTGTGGCAAGTAGCTTACTACTGTTGGCTGTAGCCAACAATTTGGTACTGAAAGTAAGCTTCTGTAAGTGCTTCTGGCTCTTATTGCTGTCTGAGAAAGAGTGGTGACCCTCCTGACAGTAGATGTATGGAGTCCACAGAAACAACTTAGGGTTAATTCTCTGTGATACACTTTTTCCTATCAACGTTGCCGCTCTTTTGTCTTAAGTCTGTTTTTTTCCAGCTTTACTTTGTTTTAGAATTTATCTTGGAGTTGCAGGCATACAGGGCAATAGTGTTGTCTGTGCTTGAAAGGCAGTTGTAAATGAGTTTTCTAAATGTGCTGCTAGTACAAGGCAGAACAATGTCCATTAATCTCTTCATTTTTGCAATATCTTCTCCAGCAACTTCTCTTCCAGTGGTGCCAACTTAATTTATTTGTTTCCAACTAATTTCCTCCCTGTCTTTGTCTTATACGTAGAATGGCGTACTACTCTGTTCATTCAGATTTCTAAAATACCTGCATATGTACAAAAAATGAAACCAGAAAATTAAATGTAATTAAATTATCAATACATCTGTTTTTTGCTTCAAATTTTGTTTTCTATATATGACATTTTTGAATTTTAAGTTCTCGGAAGCAAAAAAATTTTTGTGTTACCTTTCAAACTTCTTAATCCTGAAACAATAAATAATAGACAGAAAGGTTTCTAGAAGGAGTAAAGCTTTTCCAAAAGCAGTAGGATCTTTAGGCCTAGTACAAACATAATGAAAAATAGAAAACCCATTAAATATCTAAAAGTAGAACTGCATGAAGGATTATTCTGAATGCTGGAGTAAGAAATACACAGGATTATACTATTTTTTTCCTGGTTTTCACCTGTTGGTTTAACTAGTTCATCTAAGTTGCTGCTTATCTGTGAGGAATCAGCATTAATTAGCATCTGCTGAACTGGACAGACTCTCCAATCTACAGACAGTCTATCAGAATAATTATATGAAATTTTATCTCAAGACATTTTAAATTTTAATACAAAATTACCTTGATGTTCTGTCATAGCATTTAATATTTTTGCATCTTGAGAAAACCACTAGTGGGTTGAATATAACAAGAATTATAGAACTTTAAGTATATCCATCTGGAAAGAGTAGGAACAGCTGTCCAGGCATAAGGCAATACATTGACATGTCATGTTAATTAATCATTTTAATTTCAGTTACAGGATGTGCAAAGTGTATCACTGTTTACTTCACAGCAGTATGGCTAACAAATGATTTGTGAAATCACTGTCCATTTTAACTGGGATGTTTTTATTAAAGAGCAGTAGCTATGACTAACGGCAGGTT